CTTGATTTTCCCCTACACTAACTTACCCTACAGATAGATCACAATCTCTTGCTACGTGAACTTACCTTACAAACAATTTACTGATCTTGACTTACAGTCAATTTCTTGCTACGCTGACTTACGTTACAGACAATTTCCTCTTGATCTCTCTCGGACTACGGCTTGCGACTCGTACAGACAATTACTTTGCTTATCACTCTACCAGCTCGAATACTTGCTCGTGGGGAGGTTCCCCCTGCAAACGGAAAGTTCGCATTCATCGGACTCCTTGCGAGAACATCCACCACCTACCTCCAATCGCTGCGCTCACAATATAGCCAAGTTATATAGCCAGCCAGGTGGTGGAATAAATTAGTAACCGGGGTGGGACAGGCTACATTAGCCCTCCCGTGGAAACCCCGGTAGTCACCCGGTATTCTCAAAGCCTCCAAAGCGGGCTGTGAATAGACCTTAAGCATTGGTTAAGTTAAAACAGTGGTTTTCACACAACCAATGGAAGGGACTGTAGCCGCGCCAATCACGTAAGCCACCTAGAGAGGAGGCACAAGTGAAACTAATCCCGCAGGGAACTTTCACTTGCCGACCACTCTCTAGGTGAGCTATTGCACAGGCAGAGGGAATCTTCATCTGACGCAACTCACGGAGTAGATTGGCGCGAGGTAGACTACTACATTTAGTTTCTAAACTTGTTCTACCCACCACACCTCTCCCACAATAAATTAGTAACCGGGGTGGGACAGGCTACATTAGCCCTCCCGTGGAAACCCCGGTAGTCACCCGGTATTCTCAAAGCCTCCAAAGCGGGCTGTGAATAGACCTTAAGCATTGGTCCCACGTTCAGCACATATGTACTTACATCCAAAGCCCACACACCCAAAGCCGAGTCGAGCCGAGGTGAGACGAGTTGCGGTTAAGTTACGTTGAGATCCACACGACTGACAACTCAAGGGAAAAAAAGCAGGTCGAGGCAAAAACTCTATCTTTCTATGTATGCATATGTACATAACAACAAGAACAACAACAACAAGAATCAGATACTACGACAACAATTGAACACATTACGTTTTTACGTTCTTTGGTTTACGACAACAACAGCAGATAAGGAAGGACACGACATACACAATAAGTATAACGGACTGGTGGGTAGGTAGGTAGGTGTACATCGGATATAGCACAAACTTTGTGTGGCGGACGGCGAGGGGGGAGGGGGAGGGAATAATAAATAAGGGAAGCAGGAGGAGGGGGAGGGGGAGTAATAGCGTAAGAATGTAAATGTAAGTCGTTTTATTTTTACATGGTGTTCTGTTTGTGGTGTATTATGGTTGGACGTTTGTGGGGAGGGTTACAGAGAGAGGGAGGGAGGGAGACTGAGAGGAGTAGGAGGAAGAGTAGGAGTAGGAGTAGGAGTAGGAGCAGGAGTAGGAGTAGGTGCAGAGTAGGAGTAGGAGCAGGGCGATACACATACACAAAACCTTATATATCTGTTGTTGTCGTTGATACGAGCGAGCGAGGACAGCGGAGGCGGCGGCGGGGGGAACAGCAGCGAAAACCTAGCAACGAAAACAAAGACGAACCCAAGACAGGGCACGGACGCACGAGACAAGGACCAAGATCATAGGACAGGCAAACGACAAGCTTCAAGTTCAAGCGCCAGGATCAAACGACCTCCCTCCTGGCAACATCCGCAATACCCTCCTGATCAAGCAACCACGCGCCCGTCTCCGCCTCTTCCTCCTCCACCGCCTCTCGGAGCGCCTCTTCCAGCTCTTCCTCGCCCATCTCCTCTCCCTCTTCCTCTCCTTCCCCTTCCTCTCCCATCTCTTCTTCTCCCTGGTTCCCGACTTCATCTCCAACTGCGACTTCATCTTCGTCCCGCGCGGCGGCATCTGCGTCTCGCGCCCCGCTCCCGCCCATCCACACATCATCCCACAACTCCCCAACCCTCGCGCGCCGCCTCGGATCCCTCACAAGCAACCTCCCCACGACCCTCCGCGCGCCCTCCGACCGCGCAAGCGTCGGCCCCACCAGCTCCTCCCCTCCCTGTGTTTCTCCCTGTCCCTTCCCCTCTCCCTCTGTTTCTCCATCCCCGGCACCACCTTCGCCCTCGTCGCCCTCGACCTCAGGCCACTCATACTCCCCCCGCGCAATCCGCATCAACCACGCGCGTCGCGCCATCCGCCCGCGCCCGTGCTCATGCGGGTGCGCCGCTTCCCTCCCGATCCCCATCCCAACCCCCGCGCCGACGGACGCGCCCTCGCCAAAAGGCAGCCGCCGCGCAACGAGGGCATACAACACAACACCACACGCCCACGCGTCCGTCTCGCGCGCGTCGTACACCCCCCCGCCCCCGCGCGCCTTTGTCTTCCTCGTGCGCGCGTGTGTGCGTGTGTGTGTGTGTGGGTGTGAGGTGGCGGAGGATGGGGAGGAGGTAGAGGGAGAAGGGAGCGGCGGGGAGGGCTCGGAGCGCGGTGCGGAGCCGCCCATGACGAGTTCGGGCGCGGCGTACGCTTCGCTGCCGCAGCGCGTTGAGAGGAGCGGGCCTTCGTCTTCGTCTTCCTCGTCTTCGCTGTCTTCCTCGTCCTCTTCGCCTTCACCCTTCGCACTGTTGCCTTCGCCACTGCCGCTGACACCGCCGGCTTGCGCCGCACGCGCACGCCGATCCCGCCTGCGTTCCTCCGGCGAGCGGATGTCGACGAAGCGGGATAGGCCAAAGTCTGTTAGTTTCACGAGGGGCGCGTGGGGCGGGGGGAGGTCTGCGTGTGTTGGCGTGGGCGAGGTCGGGAGGAGGGCGGTGTATGTTTGTGTTGTGAGGAGTATGTCTGGGGGTGGGCGTTAGCGTTAGTGTTAACGGTGGCGAGGAAAGGAGGGAGGGAAAGAGGACACACTACGCACTCTCAAGCTTAATATCACGATGCACGAGTCCAACCGAATGCATCCACGCCACCGCACTGCACAAATCGCGCCACATGCGCTGTAAAGCCGACTCTGTGAGGCGGGACCAGGCAGCGTCGGCGTTGACGAGGGCGAGGAGGTCGCCGCCGGGGAGGTAGGGGAGGACGAGGACGTGGTGCGTGGGGGTGGAGAGGTGCGCGAGGAGGGGGGTTATGTTTGGGTGGGAGATGTGCTGTGGGCGGGGGCGTGCGAGGGGGAGGGAGGGAAGGGAAGGAAGGGGAAGGAAAGGAAAGGAAAAGGTCAGCTGGAGATGGAGGGAGAGAGAGAGAGAGAGAGAGACACGCACGCGCAGGACTTCGACTTCACGCACGAACGCGACGCGTGTACGTTCTTTCTCCTTCTCATCATCATCACCGTCGTGTGCCGCGCCGCCACGCACGGTCATCTTGACAGCGACGAGGCGGCCTTTGGCAGGCGTGGGCGTGGGCGTAGCTTCGTTCGCGGGGACGATCGATATCGATATCGCGGGCGGGCGGTGGTGGTGGTGGGGCGGGCTGTACGACGATGTGGAGGACGTGGAGGATGCGCGGGAAAGGCTGAAGGTGAGTACACCCTGCTCGTCTACTCGCACGCCGTGCTCGTCCACACGCACGCCGTGTTCGTCCACACGCACGCCCTCGTCCACTCGCTGCTGGCTCCGAATAGGCCTCGTCCCAGGTACACGCGCACGGAGCCTCCTCAACGAACCCGCGCGACTGAGTGACGAGAGCGAGAGGGAGCGGGTAGCAGAAGCAGCGGGCGGCGGGGACTTGGACTTGAGTGAGGCCTGGCGGCGGAGGTCGTGGAGGCTCCTGCGGGAGCGCAGGACGAGCGGGACGGGCGAGAGGTCGTCTGCGAGCCACACGCTCGAAAAGGCGCCGTGGCCCAGTGGTTGGAGGAGCCGTAGCGTCGCGGGGTCGGCGGAGATGATGCACCCGACGCTTGGGTCTGCGGCGTCGTTGTCGTCTGTGGGGGCGAGCGCGGCGGTGGCGGCGAGGTCGGGCTCGCGGTCTTTAGGGCGCGGTGTGGGTTCGCTGGAGACGTGCTCGAATGCCGGGGATGCCTTGGTCGTCGTAGGCGTCGGCGAGGAAATGTCGATGGCTGGGATCGCGAAAAAGGCGTGTGTCTTTATCGACGGCGACGGCGAGGGCGACGGTGGGCGGGTGGGGAAGGGCGAGGCGAAGAATGCATGGGTTTTGGAGCCCGAGGCGGGTGGGGAGGGGAGGGAGGACACGGAAAAGTCGGAGAGGGTGGAGGAGGAGGAGGTGCTGAGGAAGGAGAGGCGGGAGCGGAGAGAGCCTGAGGAGGACGAGATGGACGATGGCGGGGAGGGCTGGAGGGTCGTGGGCGACGACGACGACGACGACGAAGCGACGACAAAGCAGTGGACGACGACGACAAAGCAGTAAACGGCAGTGACCCACAATTACTCCCAGCCACATCATTCCGCCGGTCCTGTATACTTCCGTTACAAAAATTTTCCGCCATCACTTCGGATAACAACAATAGCAACGGCGCCTCGGATAACTTTCTATGGCGTTAGACTCACACAGGAATAGATTAGGCGCAGCTTCCAAGTCAGAAGTGTACGTAGCCAGGTTATCAAGCTCCACAGCAGGACCCAAGTATCCGTAATCCCTCCTCCAACAACGGACCCCCTTCAAGCTAGCCAACTTCCATGCAATGCAAGCAAGCTCCGTCTTCGCATAATCTTTCCAACCATAGTCCACTCCACTCCACTCCTTCTCCCACCCACACAATCCTCCACATTCTCTGCTAGTATATCGGCTAGTACACGCGCCTGTCATTCCAGTATCACTTCTCCTACGCGCGAAAGCTGGGTTCGACTCCCAGGCAGAGAGCTATTTGAGTAGTGTGTAGTGTCAAGTTTTTTCCCGCCTCAATCAAGCTCTATCCCACAGAATATTAGCTTATCCAACCAATGCCCAATGCCAACCCGATCTCAGATTTGGCAACGTCTCAACCTTACTTTTAAACGACACCCGTAAAATTCAAATTCACTCACAAACACCACATGAACATGCACATGCACGTTCCAACTTTCGCATTCTCTGCTAGTATATCGGTTAGTACACGCGCCTGTCATACAAATGTAAAAGTTGACCTTACGCGCGAAAGCTGGGTTCGACTCCCAGGCAGAGAGCTATCTGAGTAGTGTGTAGTGTCAACTTTTTTCCCGCCTCAATCAAGCTCTATCCCACAGAATATTAGCTTATCCAATGCATGTAATCTCAGATTTGCAATGTCTCAAGTTTCAACCTTAAGCTTGTACTTACTTTCCAACGACACCCGGCCGAGTTTCTTGCGTAAAATTCAAAATTCAAATTCACTCACAAACACCACATGAACATGCACATGCACGTTATAACTTTCGCACTCTCTGCTAGTATATCGGCTAGTACACGCGCCTGTCATTTCAAGGTAAAAGTTGACCTTACGCGCGAAAGCTGGGTTCGACTCCCAGGCAGAGAGTTTCTGCAGGTCTCTATTTTTTCCTGTATCGATCAAGCTCTATCCCACAGTTGCAGCGCTGCAGAAGATTAGCTTACCCAACCATGGCCAATGCCAGCCCAATCTCAGATTCGCAACGAGTTTCTTGCGTGCGTAAAATTAAAAATCCAAATTCACTCAACCATCCTTTCGCAGTCTTTGCTAGTATATCGGCTAGTACACGCGCCTGTCATACCTCGACGTAAAAGCTGCCTCTGCTGCTAGGAGCGACGAGAGCGGGCTGCAGAGGCAACAGATGGCGCCGACCCGGCGAATAAGATAGCGAAATCCGGCTCGCTACGCGCGCGTAGCGAGCCACGTGTAATTGGACTCCGCGGCTGAACGCGATGGGTAAAAGTACAATACAAAGTAATGTAGGCTGCTATAATATGAAATATAGTATCATGGGAGAGGTGGGTGGGCGATCGAAAAGATAAACGACGAGAGAGACTATAGATACCAAAGGAAAGCGGGGTGAGCGAAGCCCAGTCGCAACAACGACTATCTGGGCTTACATTAATTAATCGGACTCCAGCGACGGAA